CAGGAGCTGCTGGGGACCTTTGAAAACTAAAGATAGAATCAGTTTGGGGGGGTCATCTGAAACAAATGTGCAAAGGGAGGAAACTCCAAAAGCCTTACCAACTAAAAGGAGAGACAGGGTGGGGAGATACGAGAACAATGACCATGGAAAGAAAAGTGGGTTGGGATTGTCAGTACCCTGTGGCTGGGAGCTATCAGAATCCAACCCACTGGGGAAAGAAGATGTCATTCCATTGTAAGTTACACAGGAGTGGCTGTGGAGGGAATATTGTTGTTTCCAGAATCCTTGGGCTTGTAGCCTGGAGCCAAGCAGAACAATACAAATAATTAAGGGAGTAGTGGAATTAACTTACAGGGAATTCTTTCTGCTTTTCTTCACCTGGTGAGATCAAGTGTAGTATTCATTTCACATCAGATAGGTCTATTATCAGGGAACTGTATCCTGTTCTGGCAAAAGATATCTAGTAGATTTTTTCCATTCCCAACTTCGAGGATGTAACAAATTATGTAGAGCCTGGGAAAGCAATGCATTGGGTCTGCTGTGTTAGGGGCATATTTAAAAATATCTAAGATGAATAAACCTCAAGGAGGGAAAAGTAATGCAAAGAGATGCATTACACACAAAAAAAGAAACAATAATAACAGAAGACTGCTTCATTTACATTTATACAGAGTCTATATAGAAAAGGAAGTATAACCTTCTATCAACTCTAGGTCATCAATGTTAGAATTTTTCTGCATTTGCTTATTCTTTCATAAAAAGTAGCTCATATCCAAAACTAATTTTGAGTAGCAAACACTATAGCTAATTTGCAGATGGAAAAATTGAATCATTGAGAGGTATTTTATTTGCATTCAAACAGAGCAAGTCAGTGAAAGAGATGAGAATATGACTCAATTGTCTGGAAGATGCAATAAAAACAGGGAACTACAAGTCTATGTATTTCTATCAAATTGAAGTTAAAGGAATTATTCTTATGGGTATAATTTAGTCTATAATTTGTCCCTCAAATATCACGACCCTACAATTATATTAATGAATCATCTCTAACCATTTATAAGCGCTCCTCTGACACTCCCTTCAGGTGTACATTAATGATTGGATGCTCGACATGTTCTTAGGCTGCTTTGGATCCTGTCAATATTTGCTGTCAGAAACTTATCTAGGTTCTTGTTTTCTTAAATGATGCCTTAAAGATGAAAAAGCATCAAGTCAGTGAGTTAATGGCTCATTTTTCAATGTGGCTTTTCATTGACACCTATTTTGGAATTATCCATTTGTGTGGCTCAGGCCATTCTCAAAGTGTAAGTGTAATTTTAGAGAAAGTTTAGAGAATTTTAAAGTGGCTAGAGCTTTGGTCAAGTGAAAAGCGCTCTTCAGAGAAGGGTATGATAGAGTGAAAGTTCTATCTACAAGGTCAGGCATCTTTGCTTTGGAATCCTGGCTTTTCCTCAAACTGTGTGACCTCGAGAAACTCATCTAATCCCTTTGAGGCTCAGTTTCTTCATCAGTAAAATGAAGATGATAGCCCAAACCTTAGAACTTTGTTGTTAGGATGTAGGTGTTGTGATGACTTGGCTAAATATTGGGGTCTTGGGGTGAATTAGGTAGTTTGTGGTAGATGGGCATGAGAGGTGAAGTTACTGTTCCAGAACCTCACCACCTGATTAAGATGAAAGCTAGTTTCCAACCCAACTCTGCCACAACATAGACATTTGTTAAACACACATTCATTAGCAAGCAAGCAAACAAGCAAGCAAGCATAAAACAATTTATAGTCTGTTTCTGAGCTTGATGAAACCTCAGCTCTTGTCCCCTTAAGTAGTCCAAATGACTGCCACCTTGCATAAAAGGTTCACGTGAGGCAGGTGGGATTCTGTTGCCCTTAGTTGGCAGCAGCCAGCTGGAAATCCTCTTTATCAATGGCTGGAGGCAGGCCTATTTCAGGATCACTTCTTGAGCTCTGTCTCTGAAGATGCAAGCTACAGGCAACAGATTCTTACACTCTGTTCAGCAGGGTTTCTCTAAAATATTTTAGCCAATTTCCATATCTTAACCTACTCTTACTTCATGAATAAACATTTCTAATGCCTACCTCATTATTTTACTTGGCTTTTACATTTCTTCAACCATCAAGGTCTCAGGAGTTGGTGGAGATATGGTTAACAGAAGCACTTGAAGCAGCAATCCTGGGAACGTTGTCTTCATGATATTTTGCCACCTAACCACCACAGGAAGATGAACTCCTAGTTATAGCGACAGATATACCCAGAGTTACCATGTAAACCAAACTGCACATATATAAAATATCACACTGTCTATGGTAAAGTAGTTTAGTATAAATTACAGACATTTTAACAACAGGCAGAGGAAATATTTTAAGTATATGTTGATACTCATCCACTTAGGGATAATCTCTTTCAATGGTTGTCAGATTGGCTCCCTAAGTTCCAAGGAACATGGAACCAGGGCTTGTAGGAAGCAGATGGGGTTCTGGGTTCCCTACCACCTCATCCAGAGCAGCTTCACCTGAACCTAGTTTGCATTTTAGATGTTCTCACAATACTTTACTTGAAGGAAAGGTTTCATGGTTAAAGGTTTGAAAACCACTGATGAAGCCTAACATTCATATTACAAATGAAGAAGATGAAAGCCAGAGCAGTTGGCACTTTTTCAAGTACAGATTATCTGTAGAAATCCCTAGCATTGGGCTCTTTTCACTACCAAAAGCAGCCCATGTACCATGAAGAGGCTACATCCGTGGCTAAAATCAATCTCTGAGCAAGAAAAGGTGGTATTCTCATAGCATGTCTGTTACATTACCCTGGAGGACTTCCACGTGTTCCTTTACTGAAAACTGCAACCTACTATAGAGATACACACTTGATTAAATGGGTTAGTTTAACAATCAAATATTTCACAGATACTGTTAATTTGAACCCATCACTGGGGAGATGCCCTCTGTAGAAACTTAATAAATGGGTCGGTGTAGCAGTGATCTAACCAGTTAACTTTCTCCCAAATAGTCCCTATGTTGACTTTTCTTCTCTTTCATCCAGATTGTCTATAGTAATGGAAATAGTTATTGGTTCAATAGGGATCATGTTCTGCGGATCTTATTTGTGTTGTTTAGATCTTATTTCAGGGCCCTAATGATATTTCATCCAATCTGTTATAGTCAATTATAAAATACTATTATTTTATGTCCTGCTGAGAAATAAAACAAACATGCTGATTAAAATTTTAAGATACCTTTGCTGTAAAGACACATTGTGATTTCAGAGATATTAAAAGAGATGCATCTTGGAATTCATGAAGTATGCTATCATATTTGCCACCATATAAGATATATTTCCCCTTATCTTATGCTTCCTCCTTCTTCCATTCTAGGACACCTGATATTTCCTTTAAGCAGAAGGATCAGCCTTAGGTTTTCCAAAATCCTTCCCTCCAAAATTGTGCTGCCCTTATAGTTTAGCATATATCGTACTTACTGATCAAAAATACTTTTTGACTTCTAGGCCTTTGGAATGGTGATGTACCTCTCTTCTTAGCCAACACAAACACTTTGGATCTGTTTCCTTTCTGTGAGATCAGCATTATTCTAGCAGGGAAAGGAGTTTTAAAGCCCCTAGGGGGGAAAAGTCACTTCCTGTTCTCAGGAGCAGAAGGGACCCAACACCATGCTGCCTGGACATGGACACTGGATACTTCCTGTGTCTTGAGTTAAACATTCCTCTAGCAAGAGAGCTCATATCAGGCAGTTCGAAATGGACCTCACCGCACTTCCTTATAATTTTGTTTGGTGTGGCACTAACATGATCCAAACTGTGTCATAAAGTAAAATATTTTACTCTCTTTGTTCAGGTATCATTTTCATGTATAACATCAAAGTGCAATTTCAACTTTTCAAGCACACATATCCAATTACTCATAGGGCAGCAAACAGTTCCTGTTAAGTGGCAAAAAATGTTCTACCTTAACAAAAGTTTTAATGCTTGTTTGTTATGAGTGATGCCCCTGCTTGAAGATGTTTTTGGTCTGCATGAAACATTCTTCCCTTTTAAAATCAAATGAAATAGGAACAAAATTCAAATTTACATATTCTCTTCCCCAAGTTCAAATTACTGTGTCAGTATATTCCTTGCATAATTTAATATTTAGTTCATGTTTACTAGAAGGTATTTTTTAAAAAGATTTTATTTATTTATTTTTAGGGAGAGAAGGGAGGGAGATAGAGAGAAACATCAATGTGTGGTTGCTGGGGGTTATGGCCTGCAACCCAGGAATGTACCCTGGCTGGGAATCGAACCTGGGACACTTTGGTTCCCAGTCCACACTCAATCCACTGAGCTATGCTAGCCAGGGCTACTAGAAGGTATTTTTAAGGCAAATGGAGATTAACATGTTATTTTAATGAAGGACAAAAATCTACAAATTGTGATACCAATAAGCTTGACTTTTCAGTACTCTTTTTACACAATGGTGTGTTGGGAAGAAGGTAGAAAGCTGTGAATTATAGAGACTTAAGAAAGTGCTGGAAGCCCTAGGACATGGAAAGGAGGAAGCAGTTTAGGAGATGTGATTGCTGCCTTCCCATGGTAAATATGAAGGACCTGAAGGAGGGCTCAGGTGTAGGATGGTTTCTGTGGATGCTATTTCCTTCTTTCCTATCATTGTGTGTTCCTTCCTCACCCCACAGAGAGAATAATATTAAGCACCACAGGAGGGCAACAGCAGAACAAACTCTCTTCAAATTCTTCATCAAGTAGAGAATTGTAAAATGACTGCACAGACCTAAGGATGAGTACCAGAAATTTGTAATAAATGGAAGTCAAATTTTCCTTTGCTTATTTTTATAGTCATTACAGTAATTTTCTTGAGGTAAAAAGCTTTAAAGATGCACTTTTCAGGTGCACTTTTCTTCAGAACAATTAGTGCCTCAAAGTATCATGACAATTTCTTTTCTTGAGCTAAATCTTCCCTGTTTTCCTTTTTAGGCAAATATCAATATCCCAATGGGAGCCTTTCGGCCAGGAGCTGGGCAACCCCCCAGAAGAAAAGAATGTACCCCAGAAACAGAGGAGGTAAATGGAACTTAGTTGGTAGAGCTCAGCATTGTCTTTCTCCTCCAAAATCCTGACTAGTGTGGGACAGAAGCATGTCAAGGGCCAGCTCTCCAGGGCAAGGGAGGGCACGAATGGATGTGGGTTAAGGAGTCATCACACAGTATATACATTCCTTTGATGTTTTGCTCAATAAGCCCTGAAACACACTGCCCTTGCTTTCCTTCAGCCAAATTTAAGTGCCTGGCACAGTTACTTGAAGATGATGAGTTTAACATGTAGTTTGTTGCTTGACTGTGTGGCTGTGGTATATGCATATGCATATGGGGGATGGTGGAGCATAGCCTCTCAGATCCTCTTGGTCCACAACAGCTTCTAGCCTGGTAAATTTTAACTCCAAAGCTTTTATTGAACCAAACAGGATGCATTTAGTATAGGATTGGATGAATAATGAACCCCAGTGGGAGCACAGGTAATGAGTACATTAAATTATTTGTAGATTAAACAAAAAGCTCCAATCTCTGAGTATTTCCTTGCAAAAGAGGACTTTGGAAGGGAGTCTATCAATTTCTGTATTTCTTCCTCCCTCTATTTCATTTTACCTTTCCTCCAAATACAAATACCTGGTCTTCTAAAATGGAGGTTAAAATTAATAATGAATACAATAAATACAGAAAAGTTCTTTCTTCAAATGTTTATATTTCATCCCCAATTGTGACTTTTCTAATAAAACCTGGAAGGTCTGATTCATAATTAAGGTTTTGGAGCATGTCATTAGCACAAGGGACATGGAATTAAATAAAGCCATACAACATAGCAAACTGTGTTTTATCTTTTTAAAAAGGTGAAAAGGTGGTTTTACCTTTTGTAGGTGATATTTTTGGTAATTGCTTCAGAAGAAGACCTCTCATCATTTTAAAGTTTCTGAATAAAACTTTGGTTATCCCTCATCTAACCTTTTTTTCCTCCATAAATAATTCCTGACATGGTCCAGAGTTAGTGGTTCCAGCCTCATCAATGGAAAGATAATTTTTGAAGGAGGAGATGGAGTATTTGAGTGATATCACAGAGTTATGGAATTTCAGCAGTTAAGTCACCTTTGATGAGTACAATTTTGAGCATACAAATTGAAAGGACCCAACCCTAAACTTTTTTTTATGGTGCATAATAAATATTCAGCTCTGATGCTGCTAACTTGGCCATCCAGTTAACTCATGATCATGAGCTCTCGCTCTGGGATTCTGGTCAAGTATTTCTGAGTCTATGCCTGAAAAATATAATCCCCTCCATTCCTCAAAGGGTCACTGTGAGGAGAGAGTTAGTGATATGAAAGACATGGCATAGCCTAGCAAGTATTTAATAAATAATTGTTCAGTTGATCTGTTTATCCAAGTTTCATGCAGGACTCCTGGGCCTATTATTTTGCATGGGGAGGTAAAAGGGCAGGCAGTTCAAGTCTTCCTATACCTGTAATTGGACTTTCCTCCTGTGCTTCCTCTAAAGCTGTGACTGTCACTTCCATGGCAATCATTTGGAAAGGAGACTGACCTTCTTTCCTCACTAAATTGACTGATGTAACAGTTGTTTTGGAGGCTTACATTTCAGTGTCCCTCTGTGGTACAGATGGCCTTCTCCTCCCTGTGTCCCAGTTAGGGGCTTGGGGAAGCACTGTGCTCTCACTCCTACCTTGTCCCCAGTCTGATAGTTCAAGCACATTCTAAAATAGCCAAAAGTGGATATAACCTGGTTTGTGAACTACTTTATGACCAGCCACATATACAGGTGGCTAACCAATATTTTTCACAGGATGGAGAGGAGTGAGGTATCTACAGAAAGCCCGGGAGTGTTTCATGAACTGAACTTCACCTTTCTCTTGGGGCTCATGGGTTAGGAGGGTGGAATTAAGGATTGTATTCCCTAATTGTGAGAGCAGAAATGATCTCTCAAAGACTTGTAGGGTCTTAGGGAAGAGTGGAATCTAATGACTCAAGTTCTGGGCTGGATCGTGAAATAAGTTTCTCATGGAAACAACACTGTAAGGGGAGAACTTAGGTGGCTTGGCTTGGCTACAAGGTGGGTTTAGTAGGATTTTGTGTGTTCGCTTGAGGCCCTGGACACTTTTTCTTTTTGGGGGGACATAGTTTGAATGGGAAAATGGAATCTGAATTCCAAATAACATACTTTTTATTGTTATCTAGTTTGCAAATTTGGAATTGCTTACCCTCTTAGACTTGGGATTTCTTGCCTAGCCTTGCATTATGATAATCACTGGATAAAGGAGAGATCATAACATACCATCTCTGAACGAAGAGGCTACCTGTATCACAGCCAGTAGTCGCCCCATCTCAGCCCTGATACCATGTCAGCTGTGAAGAAAAGGATGTACCCCAGCAGGAAGCTAGGATGAGTCTTCGGCTGGCTGACAAGGCCTGTGAGCACTGGCTGGGTCTCTAAGCCCCTCATTGTCTATGAGAGCCCTTTGCTCTGCTCACAGAGCTGGGGTGCACCTTCCATCCGCTTGGCCTAGCCAGAGTTTGACATCTGACAGAGAGACCTAACAGCCAAATCCTAATAAGCATGGCTGGTGTTTTCCATAAGACAAGGCACTGGCTTGCTTGAAGTGATTCGAAAGGTATTGACAAGCCCTACTGTGCCTCCCAAATCTCTTTTGAGTGAAATATCATCACTTTTAATCCATAAAATAGCATGCTGGGATTTTCTGTTAATTATTTCCTTCTCCATCTGGTGCCTTTATAAGATGAAAACATACTATTTGATTCTGGTTTCACCACATCCTAGCTGTGTGGACATCATGCCTCAGTTTCCTCAACTGTAGAATAGGGATAACAACAGTACTGTATTTATAGGTTGATGTGAGGATTAAATGAGTTAGTATGTGTAACTTAGAACAGCTAGCAGTATAAGTGTTTGCTGTTATTATTAAGTCTTCAGTGTTTGAGAATGAAGGAGCACATCAGACTGTATTGCCCCATATAGGAGAGTTTATGGGAAAACCCAATAGGGCATCTGGTCTTAAAGTCCAGATATTTGGAAAATGGTTCAAAATTGTACCAAATTTTATAAATACTCCATCATCCTGAAAGGGAATATCTCCCTTGACAACAGCCATTCCTGAAACTGGAAATGGTCTGGGGCTGATAAGCCTTCTCTCCAGCTCTTTTTATCTAAATTAAATATCTTCCATGTCCCTTCTCAATTCAATATCTACTTACCAAAAAAAGGGAAAACGTACTTATTAGTGAAATGGAGCCAACTGGAACCCTGTTTGTTCATGTCTTAATTTATTATAGTTCTTATAATAAAGTCATAGGTTGCCATTATTTTTGAAAGATAAAAGATTCAGTTAAGAACATGCACCACCACTAATGCCTTTCCTGAATTAATATCATAGTATCTACTTATAATTTCCATTACATGTCACCTTACCAAATCAAGTGCTAAAAGTCTTACTTTGATAAATAAAAGTCACAGTGCACTGGTTTTAATAACTTGAGAGGAGAGTGACTAGTATTAAATATTACCATCCTATATCTGTGTATACTCACATAATAAACTTTTGCACATAGACACATAATTACACACATTGGCTTTAGGTGTTAAATGTGTCAATACAGCACATTTTGATATTACAACAACAGTGAATGTGACTTACCTGGGAACTTAACAGAAGGAATTGGAAACATTTTTCTTTTTCATCTTTCTTTATTAAGATTTACCCACCTGCCCTGGCTGGCGTAGCTCAGTGGATTGAGTGCGGGCTGCGAACCAAAGTGTCGCAGGTTCGATTCCCAGCCAGGGTACATGCCTGGGTTGCAGGCTATAACCCCCAGCAACCGCACATTGATGTTTCTCTCTCTCTCTCTCTCTCCCTCCCTTCCCTCTCTAAAAGTAAATAAATAAAATCTTTAGAAAAAAAAAGATTAACCCACCTAAAAACTATGGGAACATTTATAAGTGAGGAAACATTTTTCATTTCATTGCTACAGCTATTAAAAACTTCAATACTTTAGGGCCTTGTTTAAAATTTTTTTCAAAAGCTTAGCAATAACATTTTAGAATACCTGGTCCTCCAAGTGAGGTTTAGCAGCTTTAATTATTGCTTCTAAACCTGCATTTATAAATGATGAATGGGTGTGCATGGCAAGGAAGCCAATCCTGTGGCTCTACATTGACCCAGGGGGAAAATATTTTCCAGATATTTACAACAGCCACAGTCTACACTGAATTACTTTGTCATTTGGTGCAGCTGACATGTTAGCTAGTTCATCAGCACTGTGCCAGAGTCAAAGAAAATGACTCTAGAAAAAAAACCATGAGCCCTTAGTAGAATGGCACCTTAACATTTTACATTTCTATTCCTCCACCCCAATAAGTGATTTAAAAACATTTTCATAAAGGACATGTTTACCAAGTAATCGGTTAGAGGTTGGGAAGGTGGAATACTTTGTTTCCCATTAGGGTCTAGACAATTTGAGAGACAGATGTAGGAGCCAGATGGAGGCACAGCAGCAGCTTTAATATCCAAGTTACAGGGTTGCCTTGTTAGGCTGGCAACAAACACCCAGTTTCTTATTCCTTTTCCCCGGAACTGGATTGGTTCACTGAGTTGTTGGCAGAGCAGATGGAGCTCTGCCAATCTCATATCAGGACTGTGTTACTTTGGGCACTCTAAGAAGCAGACCCAAAGATGGGATTAGACATGCAAAATATTTATTGGGGAAAATACTTGTAAGAAAAATGGAGGGGGGTTGTCAGACAGTGATATGGGTGAAGAAGAGTGGGGCAGAGGGTTGGGCAGAAGCATTTCAGACAGTGCTGCTCTCAGGAAATTCTTGAGCTGAAGTCCCTCCCAGAGGAGTCCAAGTCTCCCAGGAATGGGCCCGCCTTAGGATCCTGTGGCACTCAGTCATTGGCCAAGGGCAGCCGTGGGAAGAGTGACCTCAGCGTGGTTTCAGGACAAAGCAGCTGTGGCCACCATTCAATTACCCTCCCAGAAGAAAACTGATCTGAGAGGCGTGTTCTCCTGGCTGCCATGGGTGATCAAATGTTCCTCCAACACCTTCCTTCCAAAGCTGCAGAGAATACGTTCCTGACCTGTAGCAAATTGGAGGAAACACCTAACATGCAACTTTCTTCTGTACTAATGAGTTAGGGTTCTTGGAGCCACACACAGCAACTGATTTTATTGTCTTATAGTTACCGTTAATATGTGTATTTGGTATATGTACATATGGACATAGATTTGTCACTATGGTATATTTTCAGGGTTAAGCAGCTAAAGAGCAATCAACAAGTATGTGTGTGCACTTCTGTATTTAGTGTTGAAGGAGCCACAAAAAGTATAGAATGTGGTCCTGCCCAAAAGTTGCAACAAAATAAAAACATAATGTGATATGAACTTTAAAATACTTTACAAAGTAGGAGGGAAGAGCTGGGCCTCCTCTGTCACTCCATCTTAGCCCACCTATAGTCAAAGAGATTTTGCTTATATCAGTTTCAATTTGTTTATGCTTCTCAGTTTGTTTATGCTTATGCTTCTCAGAGATGTCACTGGAACAAAGGCTGGCAGCCAGTGCAGCCCCAAACAAAAATTTGAAAACTCCTAGACTAAGTCATTGTTAGAGCCAGCTGTGTACTAACATTCTATAAATCTTTGCTGTTCAGGCATATGATGATCATATAGTACCAAATTGAATTTGATCCTGTAAGATGCTCATCTTGGAAACATGAATCCTTACAACTAGTGGTAATTTTTATTGGTAATCAGACACTGAACAGTACTCGAGTGCTTTCTAAGTCACATGGAAATTGCTTGGTCTCTTTTTCCAACTTTATTCTCCATTCCTTGACAAACTTCAGGACATCTTTTTGAAACTCTGAGGGTGTCTTAACAGCATAAGAAAAGTCACTCTGCTAGAATTACACTCTGGTATTATTCTTGCTTTAATTTTTTTCATGTCTATGACCCAGAGTGACCACACTTCCTTTTCAGTGAGCTGAATCTCCCTTTCCTTTCTCTTTAGGGTGCTCCTCCCACCTCAGATGAGGAGAAGAAGACAATTCCAGGAGCGAAGAAACTTCCAGGACCTGCAGTCAACCTGTCGGAGATCCAGAATATTAAAAGTGAACTGAAATATGTCCCCAAAGCTGAACAGTAGTTGGAAGGAAAAAGGTGAGTGAAAAACTATTTCTTTTGTCTCAAAAAGATCACTATAGGATGGTCTAAGGAAACCTTCCACTTGAAAGAGTCTGGAATTCCAGAAGACAGGGCCTTTAATTTAGACCAGTATTTCAGGTGCAGAGCTTTTCTGGCAGGTAAAGCAAAACTTTGGGGCCTGTTTGATTGTGTAACCAACCAGTCAGAGAGCCAGTGAGGATGTTTGTCTGCCATTGCCTTTCTGGTCACCTTCTTATTTGGGGAAAGATAAGGCTGGGAGAGGAAAGATGCATCAGAGGGGGTACTGAAGAGCTTTTGATCTTGGGGTCCAGGGAGTCCTCCCTTATTTCATGCCTCAGTTTCCTCACCTACATGCCACTAAGAGCAGTGAGCTATTTCTGAGTGGAGGATTAGACGAGCAAGGAGCTGAGGAGGTTTAGAAGTGTAAACAGGGTGGAGACCAGGAGTTCAGGCCTTGAAATCAGTAACCCCTGTTTTTGAGAGGCAGACCAAGAGGACCCGATAATAATTCTAAATGTGGGTGAGGGAAGGGTAGGCTCAAAACTATATCTGCCACTCACCAAGGCACTGCAAGCAGGGCCTGTTGACCTTTTCATTTTAATTGGATTTGGTCAATAATGATGTCCTAGTGAGTGTTCAGCCTTGTCCTGCATCTGTAGACCTGACACCTGCTGACTGGTTTGGGAATTCTGACAGCAGGGGGCAGGTGGAATTGGCCCAAGTCATTGATCTGTGTCCTATGAGACAATGCCAGCAAATCTACTTTATCCAACATTGCTGGATCCCACCATGCACAGTGTATTGCATTTTTAAGCAGAAGTTTAGGTTTAGAGGAGAGGAATATATATGGGGAATATAAAACAGGTATTTATCTTGCTGATTGTACATTCATTTGTTTGTGCACCCACTCACTCATTTATTCAACCAATATTTATTGATCATCTCCTGTGTGCTGAATACTAGAAACATTTAATCATTTACCATATGCCAGATACTGTGTGAAGAGTATTATATCCATTGTTCCTGTTAAGCCTTATGATGCCCAATTATTGCACCCATTCCTGACATGAGTCTTAATAGAGAAACTGATTTCCCCATCTATCATGTATCCTCAAAAGGGGTCTGATTTCAAAGTTAGTGCTATCACCTATTTGTTATACTGCTTCACCCCTTCTTCCCACTGCACTTTGCAGAAGGATTCATACTCTTTGTGGGTGTTAGGGTGAGATCTTCTTACTATGTGGATGATGAAAGCAAGCACAGCAATGGAGACCTGCTATGTCTTCTCTTGTAGAAGTAATGAAGAACAGAATGTTCTGTGTCACAGCCCCATGAATAATGGCAGTGTTACTTGTACCATGCTTATGCAGACTTACTAGGATATTTGCAACTTAGTTCTACTGAAAGAATTTCCTTATAGTGTAGACAAAGAGAAGGGCCATTTTGGGTTAAAACAACAAAACAGTATCTAGTGTTTTCAACACAGTTGCAAAAAAGAACAAAAAAGTAAGAATAAAACACAGTGAATTGTATGACCATAGAAATGAATCACAGGAACCTGGGCAAGGACAGAGTGACATTAGCAGGAACTGACCTGAAGTGTGGCTTATTATTATTTATAACAGAATGCAACCGATTGATGACTGAGCATCATTGTACTCAATCCTGCTTGTGTTGCCAAGCTGAGCTGAAATATTCCAATATGCCCGGGATTAAGCTACAGAACTTTCTTATAAGAAAGCCTAGAGAAGGGAAATTAGTTTTTTGTAATAGTTATTATCATCACCCAACCAAGGCTGTTCAGTTACACACGTGAATTTTTAATGCAAACTTTAAAGGGTTTTTGCTTTTATGAAATTCATGTCGACCTAAATTTAACTCCAGTTCCAGTTTCAGGAGACCTTGGTTTTGAAGATTCAAAGGAAACCTGTTTTAAAATTAGCTCCAAGATGATCTTGTAGTGTCATCTGGCAACTGAGGATGATTTTGTAGCCTCAAATCTATGGTTACAGTAACAAAAAAAAACAACAACAATATAATCTCAGTAAAATATAGAAAATGTACTAGAGCAACTTTTTTTGTTATTCGATTTTCTCAGAGAGGAATTTAGTGATTCTTCTCTCCTGAGCATATTCTACTAATGCAAAACCACTTAGAGAGGCCAATTTGTCCTTATTCTATAGGAATGTGAAAACAAGTTGTTAGGGTAATTGATCTGAGTGCCAAATGAGTACAGCATTGTTTTAAGCCAAGGAACGATTTTTATTTCTTGTAGGAGAAATATTAAGCTGGTTTGCCTTTGACTCATCAATTCTTCTCCTGCAAATAAGTGAGATTTTGAGACTTCCATGGTTATGATTTGTGGTCAGAGAAGGAGAACACTTTTTTACATTGATTGATTCAGTGGACCCATAGGCAATATATATCCTGGACCAGACATCATTTAGCCTGGTTGGTTGATTTCCCCCCTTCTTGGGCCACCACTTTGTCACCTATCCTTATCATCTATTGTTCAATGATTTGATCGTTCATTGTTTAAAGATTGAGTGAATAAATCCATAGTGCCAAACACTGGGAAAACTACAAGACTCAAGGCTCAAAGTCCAGATTATATTTATTATAGTTCTTTAGACATATAACATGGAGCAGCATCTCCTTCCAGCCAAGATCAGTGTCTCTTTTTAAGTGAGATTTTAGATTATTTCCATGCTCTGTGTCATGGCTAGAATTGCTTATGGAAATCAGTTAAAAATGTTATGGGACAAGAACCAGAAATGCCAATAGACCTGCCAGTTAGGAATAAGGACTCATGGCTTGTGGCAAAGGACTTATTGCCTGGACCCAATCAGGAACCAGAACCAGGCAAACTAGAGACAGCACACACTGAGTCAAGACCAAGAGACACAGGAGTATCCAAAATGGGGCCCTAATCCAGGCTGGAACAGGCACAGGACAGGGAAGGAAGGGTGTTTCAGCCACATACCTCTCAGAATTCTCCTGGCTGTGATTTAAAGTGGTCAGATGGTTATTTAAGCAAGTATAGATGAAGATACAGTGCCAGTGGCAGTGTTGGAAAACCAAGAGCCCTCCAGTGCTCCCATGCTTGCTATTTGTTGCATGATCAGGAATCCCTCGTCTACCGTCAGAAGCTGCTGTCAACTTGTTTGCTTGTAGCTGCAGTAAATGCCACCTCAGACTTCATAAACAGGATTCTGGAGAGCATGAAGAACTGCTAAGGGATGGTGTCTAATAGACTGTGTCTACTTCTGCTCCCTCCCAACCTTCATAAGAGATCACGGGTAGCCAGTAAAGAACCTTTGTAACTAGCTTCTGTATCACAGACTGCTTCTTCATTCTGTGCTAAGATATACAGATATCTAACTTGGTCCCTGCTGTCAGGATATTTAAGTCTTGGTACAAAAGTAAAATAAAACACTTCAAAAGGCAGATAATTCAAGAAATAGATAGCAGCTCAGTGATTCAAGATATCCCACAGCTGCTTATGACCCGTTAACACATAGGTAGTTGAGCTAAAGAATGTTATGACTTAAGAGAGGAGGAACTAATAATGATTTGGGGTCAGGGATAATTTCAAGGAGGTGGTGGGAATATAATGGTTTTAAACACAGGCTCAGAGATAGCTTCTGGGTATATTGTATGTCCAGAGCATCACTGATGGACTAGCTAGGTGAGACAAAACAGTTCCTCTAGGGCAATACTTAAACTGTTGGGGAAGAGCAAAACAAGATTCATCATCTCTTCTCTTTTTATAGTACTAAAAGAATTCAGTGATAATAAATTGGGGAGGAACAAAATAAACATCAAAGTGGTAGCAGTACAGTAATTACAGGCAAAATGGTTAACTGAGGTAAACTATAAGAACAGTTCTACAATTATCTTAATGAACACAAAAATAGCAGTGATTGAAAGCCTTGGGACTAATGAGGCACTAGAAAGAAATTGTCATTCTGAAGTTGCAGGAATTCCTCATCTCTGTGTTGGACATTGTAGCATGGCCAAATGTTGTGTGGCAGCTAGACTTCTTGATTACATACTAAACCTTGGTTTCAGAAATTGCAACATTTTAGTGATTCTTAAAAAATCACTTAGTAACTTTTGGCCATGTATAAAAGTGAAAATCTACGGAATTAATTCCCATTTGCCTTTAAGAACTGAGGAAAACTTGCATTTTTGTATCAGGAAGTCTTTTGAGGATACACAGTTGGTGTTGGATCATACTTTGAGAAACAATTGCTATAAGTCAATAAGTGAGATTGAGTTGGAATGATCTACAACTCCTGTGTACCCACATGTAGTCCCATGCTCTCAAGTTAGTCTCGATTCCATACCCCAAATTGGCCAATCAGCCTTGAATCTGTATTCTGTTGATCTGAAAAGAACCATTATAATGCCCTTTTTGGGAAGGTGTCCTTTCTTCCTTGAGTACTCTGCCCCATCCCTAGCATTTTCTGTTTATGCTGTTATAATACTTACCATAATGATGTATTGGTTTTCTTGTTTATATGTTCTTCATAATGCCAGAATATAGCTCCTTAAAGGCTGGGGAGACTCTTGAGCACAAAAGGTATGTCTGCAGAATGTTATTGGTGCCTTGACCACAGCAAGTCTGATGTCCCCAAGGAACGTGTTCTTGTAGACTCTCTAAGTACTTGTATTCTCAGGGGCATTATTGCTTCAAAGCAAGACTAGCTTTTCTTTCAAGGGCTGAAGGTGAGCTTGTTGATCATGACCAGTAAAGGGTTCAGAAGTTTGACTTTACTTCATTGATAATAATTTTATTCTTCTGGAAAAATAAAAAATTATGGAAAGTGTCAAGTTTGACTCATATTCCTCAAAAGGGGATAAAAACCTGTAAAAGCATTTAGTCATTTTGTTTTCAATAATTCTTTGACTTTATTTTTCAAAGAATGTTTACGTCCAGATAAGACATATTTACCAACCAGTAATCCACAGAGATTCCAGTTCTGATCGAG